GGTTCTGAGCAGCTGAGTTTGAAATCTTTTGATCGCACATGAGTGTTGAGCATTCTCCTGAAGTCTCAACTTTCTAGCTTCCCCTGTTCCTGAATTAGCAATTTTTTTCCTGTCAAAACCTTCACGTGTCCATACGTGGGGCGTAGACGTGCATGGTAGTTGATATCACGTCCCTGGGGTCTCACTTAACCAGGGATACACTGGCAAAATCCCAGTCTCAAAGCTTGCATGGTTGGTGAATAAAAATACGCGGACAGACGAACATACACGCATAAACATACATACTCAGACAGGGTTTTCGCAATACGCGTTTCTGCTACCTGTTGCATCGCATTAGCGCTGCGTAGCAAAAACGCATAAAAACATTGAAAACTAGGGATGGGTAGGTAGAGGGCGAGGGGGAGAAGAAAGGAAAAAGAGGGTGGACTGGCAGCAAGCACTTGTAAACAGCAGTTATTCGCTTGCGAACCTGATAGTGGCTTCTTTCAAGAGCTGGTTAAAAAGTAGCGACGATAGCAGTTCCGGCTTATTAACACACATTTCCCGGAGAAGTGTGTCATGGCTTCCTTGGTGGTCCTGGTTTTCTTCGACAGAGAAGTTAGCAAAAGTTTGGTGACAGAAGTAGAAATGGTTGTGGAATTCCCGGTTTGATTTGTTCTTTCTTTCAAATCGATACTTTTACAGCGATTTATTTCTAATTTCACTTATGCGGCATTCGAGATCCCTTTTTATGCGTTTTTTGCAGCTATGCAATGCGAAAAACGCATATTGACGAGAGGTTGTCTGTGTGTATGTGTGTGCGTGTCTGTGTGTTTGTGTGTGTGTGTGTGTGTGTGTGTGTATGTGTATGTCTCTGTGTGCGCTGCGCGTTTGTACCGATTTTTAAACTTTTCACTGCACCAGTTCTTACTTCCCCATCCGGAAAGTTTTTTGTAGATGGCTTTCGTAAGATGACACCAATTGATAAGTCAAGTCTGGCGCGGTCGGAAAGTGATCAGGAACATTTGGAGTTCTCGCATCCCAGTTTCATCCAGCAGCATCCCCATCTTTTGGCCAATATCAAGAGGAAATCACCGGGTGTGCGAAACAATGAGAACACCTCAATGAATATACCAACAAGAGAGCTTAATGTGCTTCTTGGTGAAATTCGACAGCTTCGAGAAAAGCAGCGAGCCATGGAAACTAAGATGACGCATCTTGTGAAGTACGCCTCTTTATATCGCTCAACATCTTACTTTATTACTTCCATCGGTTATCTTTTCATTGTCTGTGATATGCGTACCGTCTTTGCAGTCCGCTAGGTTTTTTTAATGCATTTTTTGCATTTTATTCAATGCAAAGACGCATATTGTCGACGGGTTGTCTGTGTGTATGTGTGCGTGTCTGTGCGTGCGTCTCTATCGAGTTTTCATCTCGAAATCCACAAAAGCTATAAGGCTAAAACTGTGGCAATTTAATCTACACATACATACGGGCCCCAGTCCTCAAAACGGACGCTCACGTCCATGTGGAAATTTTTTGGCAGGGAAACGTCCCTCGGAACGGCTTAAGCTAGAGGACTGGAACTTCACTTAGATATTGCTTGGCCAAATACAGTTCAAGGATTTCAAATTCAGCCTTCACGCACCCCTAAATCTCACATGCGCACCCGTCAGTTTAAGCTGGCATCGTGCCAACTCCAGACTTATGCGGACGAAGAAGTTCTAGAGAGCTGTAATATTGCAACGTTACTTGTTATCCACTATTGTGCGTATGAGTGTAAATTGAGCTTTCCCCTCTGCATTTCACGTACGGACACGTGAAAATTTCACGCAGGCACTTTTGAAAATTCAAAGTTGAAGCAGCTAGAGGACTGAAATTTTCTGAGCATAACCGGCGACACATTTGGCTGAGTGAACGTAAAAACGACTTTCACGTTCTTTTCACGTCCTACGTACGCCTCGCTTGTGCACACGTGAAATTTGACGTGACTTCGCAACCAAAACATCAACGGCGCTGAAATTTTTTGAGCATGATTCAGGATCATGTTTGAGCAAGCGCACGCAACGACAGCATTCACGTTGCCATTCCTGAATGAACACGCGAAATTTGACGTAACTCCGCGACTAGAGCAGCTGAATTGCTGAAATTTTCCGAGTTTGGCTTAGGCCCGTGTTTGAGCAAGCGCACGCGAAAACACTATTCACGTTGCTGCCCACGTGCGGACGCATGAAATTTGACGTAACTTCGCAGCCGAAGCATCTAGAGTTTTGAATTCTTGGGCATGGATTAGGAGTTATTGTAATAATTTCTAACAGTCGTGGTGGCTACTCTCAGTTCTCTTATCTAGGAGTATCTGCCGAAAAAAAAAAAAACAGTGCCGTTAGCAACAATAGCCTGCAGGGGAGCTGTGCAGAAAACGCATCTTCGCACCGGCAACCAGTACGCTGTCGACTAAGTTAGTTTATCGTGAGCGAGGTTCTTTTACGTAGCTGTGAGTCTGCTGCTGATTCTAGTGCCTTCCTATTTGTATGTTCCTTTGACTTGCTTCTCCCCTGCTGTTATGGACAGCGGCCGATGCCGATGGGATGAACATTGCTGGAGGAATCGAGGGGCCTGGCGTAGCTGCGCCTCCATGAAGCACTGTCGCAGAAAAAGGGGTCGCAAACTTTCAAAATATGTGATTTTGCAGGGAAAATGAATCTGTATGGCAGCAGCTCTCGCATCTGCGGAACATGCATGTTAAGCAGCAGCATGTTGTTGATAAACTTGTCCAGTTCTTGGTGGTTCTTGTACAACCTTCGCAGAAACGTCTCGGAAAACGAAATTTATTAGCCATTGATGAGGTTTGCTTTTTACGTGTTTTTTGCGTTTGTGCAATGCAAAAACACATATTGTTAAGGGGTTGTTTGTGTGTGTATCTCTGTGTTCATCTCTACCAATTTTTCATCTGCAAAAGCTGAAAGACTGAAACTTTTGGCTGAAGGGTCGAGACAAGGCTAAAACTTTTTAAACTTAATCTACATGCACATACGGGCCTCCAACTCCAGAATGGGCTGTCTTGCTTACATAGTTCGTACGTACCGGGCCGGTCAAAGTTTTCGACGAGTAAGCCACTAACTCAGGAGCCAGGAAAGCTAGAAGGCTGTAACTTTAATGTTTCCCGTCCACGTACAATCCAGTGACTTACGATTCAGCCCCCAGGTGTGCCGTTCGTCCCGTGAAGTTTTTTGCGGGTAAATTGCTAACTCGAGAGCTTGAAAAGCTAGAAGGCTGTAATTTTAAGAGAATGTCCCTCATCCGCATAGGTCTGAGTTCAAACCCAGCTCGCAGGTGTGCGGGTTCCCATGTAGGGGCCGTGAATGTTCCCCGCGAGTAAGTTGCCAACTGGGGAAACTGAAAAGCTGGAAAGTTGAAATTTTAAGAGGATGTCCCCTGTCCATGCAGGTGCTAATGAGTTCAAATCCAGCCTTTTCTCAGTACCTTTAACAAGCACATTTTTAGCTTGGAGGAAAGCGTCCACGGATGTCTGGCACGCAGGCACAGTCGCTGCAGCAACCTGGTAATCTCGCTGAAATCATCGACCACTTGCAGCGTGAGATTTCGGAGGGCTCATACAACCAAGCGACACAGAATTTGTTCGCACCGCGTTCGAACCAGGGCCCCATTATTGCAGATGTCACGGATGAGCCAGAAAGTAGTGGCTGTGCGATTGCCGGCCCGGCGACACCCGCCGCTCCATCAGCGGATCCGACTAGTACGGCACGGCAGTCTTCTCCTTCAGCGACAGCTCCCCAAGTGCCAGTGAGCAACGCGGTCTTGTTATCCCCATCACTGGACAAGCAAATCTCGGAAGAGTTAGCCGAATATCTTACTGGACAGGAGCATACCATCGATAGCTGTCGCGACTTGCTCAGCAACTACTGGGACAGTGTTCTGGCCGATGAGCTTGAAGATGATCCAGGGCGGCAACAACAGCAGCAGCAGCAGCAGCAACAACAACAGCAACAGCTTATGTTGGAAGGT